ACAATTCAAATTCAAATGGAACTTTATTGAGCATTTGGCTTTCTATTTGTATTTTTTTTAATTCTAGTAACAACACGCACTTTCCATTGAATGCTTTTCTTAACCTTTCTGGGACCGTACATTTGGATTAATGGTATTAATATTTTACTGAAATTGAATTACAGACTTTTCAAGAAAGCTGTCAAAGTGTTGATGAGTGTTCTTGATGAAAGTATATTATCTTCATCTGCTAATATCCCCACTTCTACCATAATTTTCCAACCAATTACATGTGCAGCGTCTTGTGTAATGAAAGTGTCTGCTGCTCTCATATTGATGCTGGTTTAGCAAGCATAGTATCTCGAAGAAACTGAAATTGATACATCGACCACTGATGCAATAAGCTAGCAGGCTATTCTTTAAGAAGTTTAATCTTCAAAGTGTTTACTTTTCAAATACCGTAATCTTTTTCTACTTCTTTATATGTTTGAATTGCACTAAATAATGTATTTCATTAATCGAAATCATGCTGAAAACTAAATTGAATAATTTCATCAACAACAGCGACGCATATAAATGAGTGCTATAGACAGCTGGTATTATGGATGTTATGAATCTAGATACAATAAAAATATATGAGCTCAGTTAGAGATTATAGACCGCAAAATTTTACATTGTATGAATAATTTGGTAATAAAGGTTTCGTTCTTGATGAATTAGAAAAAAAACAAACAGTTCCATGCAGTGTCCTAACCATAAGTTCCGATTCAATTAATATTTTTTATTCATAACAGTAAATTAATATGAAGTACCTTTTGTGGTAAGTAAACGTAAAAAGCAGAGAAACCCACTATTTGCTTCAAAGTTTGGAAAGCAACATAGCTATAAATATACATACCCTAAAAATAATGTTAGTAACATTTTCCATTGAAGTTTCAACCTTAAGCAGCAATGTTTGGCCGTAATTGGGATGGTAATTACGATTTGCCGTGTAGGGAAATAACTGTTACAAAAAGTCTTTAAGGGGTCTGTATTTGACCTATTGCACGGAAAAAATATATGCTTATCTAAATTACACTTTGTGCAGAAGCTGATAAGAATGTGATAAATTTCCCCGCCCTTCATCCCAGTCGACCCACTTCGCAAAAACTACCCATAAGATTGATTGTTAATTTATTCACGATCGCATTAATCAATGACAAGGATGTACATAAACAGATAAAAGTCTCGAAGATAAGTGTGATTATACTGCAATTGGCTAAATAACATTCTATCACGAGCTGGCAAGCGTACCCTTCGAATGTGCTTGTTTTAATACTTGAAAATGCCTAGAAATATGTCGCGTGTACGGTTTAATATTTAGTTTTTTATTTGCATGCTTGAAAATGATTCTTGTAATTATGTATCGTTAATAACTTAAAATTTAATAAAAAAAAAATGCTTGTGTTCGGCGAATACACTAGATTAACCATTCATCAGATTTCTGTGTGTTAGTAATAGATTAGTTAATAGACTTAAGTCTACATCTTGACAATAGGAAGTGGCATTTCATTTCCGCTTATGTTTGCTATGTCTTACCATAAAAATAAAAAATAAGAAGATGTGGTATGATTGCCAATGAGACAACTCTCCAAAAGTGACCAAATGATACAGAAATTAACAACTATAGGTCGTAAAAGACTATCTCCGGAGATTTATGGATAATAAACAGCAAGTTTGTATTTCTTTGCGATAAGCCTTGATAAAGACACTTAAATAATTGTTGCTGAAAATGAACATGAATGTACTACTACGCAGCTATTCGTGACAGAAAATATTCGGTTTACAACATGCTAAATAATTAAATAAGTCGTCTTTTTATGTTCTATAAGTTACGATGCTTTCCAGATAAACACTGAGATCACCGAGAAAAATTAATTACAAAAACCTTATTCTGTGAAAGTACATCACGCAATTATATAAGTTTGACTGGCCTACAAACGTAAAGTTTAAAAATTTTCCACTTGAAGTAAAATCTAAATATTACAAAATAAGTATGTTTTCTTATAGTTTGGTTCATTAGAAGAGAAAACAAAAAAATATTGTAAATATAAACGTATCTGAAAATTCATTATCAACACGGATGAAGGTGATGTTAAAACAACATACTAGAGGTATATACATGGTACAGAATACTGTAAATTTAGAAATTAGGTTTTTATAAATGCGAATAATGCGAATGGGTGTGAATCACATTATTAAAACTCGCATTGTTGATTCATCGATGAGCAAAACCCATACCGCATAGTAAGCTATAAAAGACCCCGAAATGACAAATGTAGAACAGTTCAAACTAAAAAAAAACTAACGACCTGATTAATGTACAAAATATTAAACGAAAAAACAAATATGATATACAGTAAGATATACAACAACCACTGAATTACCTGCTCCTGACTTGGGACAGACACATACCCAATGTTTGCGAGCGGCCAAACCTACCAGGTGTAAGATAAGAACTAGCTATAAAATACAGCTGAAAAGGGTCTTTTATAGCTTGCTATGCGGTATGGGTTTTGCTCACTGTTAATTCTACGTCACTTGGTCTCTGGTGGAGAGTTGTCTCATTTGCAATCATACCACATCTTCTTTTTTGTATATATCAACTTTTTCAAAGTACAGATCTGAAAGTATTCGCATTTACTGAAAACTGGTGCCACATGTGGAGCAGGATCTGCTTACCCTTCCGGAGCACCTGAGATCTCCCCTAGATTTTGGTGGGGTTCGTGTTGCTCAGTCTTTTCTTTTCAATCATTGTGTTTTGTGTACTACTGTTTGCCTGTTTGTTTTTTTCTTTTTAAGCCATGACTTTGTCAGTTTATTTTCGACTTATGAGTTTGGATGTCCCTTTGGTATCTTTCGCCTCTCTTTTTCTAAGCCAATAACAACTAATAACCAAAATGATGTATCTGATGCTAAAATATCAATCCATACACATTCAGTAAATATATATGATATATTCGGAATAAAACTATGTGTTAGGACACTTTTTAAAAAAATTATTTTACTGGTTTTGTTATTATATTCGGATTTCCGATAACCTCAATATAATGCTACTTAATGATGTGTATATATGAAGCTATTTCTTCGCTCGTTCAGATTTTTATTAGAAATAAGTAAAGTTAAAATATATTCTCCTTTATTACCGTTCTAAAACTCATTAATACAGTACCAAAGATATTTACACACACGTTAGCCTAAGGAGTCGTCATTGATTGATATCTGGTGGTTATTAAAACAGTTCTGTTGTTTGATTTGACACAAAAATAAAAGGCTTAGAAGGAGCAATATTGTTGCATAGTCGTAAAGAAAGATAAACATATTTCTATTAATAACATTGGCAACATTGTTCGATCTCTTACTTATTTTAAACGTGGTATAATACGACGTAATATACATGTAGAGCTCTTTTTTAGTTCGAACCATCTGTCTAGATTTCAAGCTTATGATTTATGATACACTGACGCTGCTATCCTTTGTCATAAACTTTTGTTTATACTTAAAGCTATGGGATTTTCTTTCTGTGATCGAACCATTTGTGTAAGACGTCCATTATAAGATTTATTATACACGGACATTGTTATCCTTAGCCGAAAACTGTTGGATCTGTTTGAAACCGAATTACTTTCCTCGTTATTTCTTCAAGCGTTGTCGGTTAAGTAAACACTAAAACTGATTAGTAAATACTGTAGTTGATGTCTTATTACTGTAATTAACTTACTAGTCCAAGACTATGACGATTTCTCTTGGTAATACACATTTGTCTAAATTTACGACAAAGTTCGGAATAACTGTAAAATAACTACCGGTTTTTCTTGAAGTACGCACGACGCACGTTTTGCTTAAACAATATTCATTAAAGGCGCTCATATTAAACAAGGGAATCAGTAAGTTAAACGAAGTTGAAGTTAACTGAAAACCAAACTTTTCAACAACAAAAAATGTGCCAAACAAATTTGGATAAGGCCATTGGGCCATACATTGTAGAATATATATGTACAATTAAAATGACGGTATCATGGCAGACTCCTCATGATTTTAGAGGTTTCATAGTTGTAAGCATCTCAGTTACGAGCACTTTGTTGATATGATATTTAATTGTGTGCCTATGATATTGTTTATTATTTGCAAAATCAAAGCTGTTTAATCTTTACATACATACATGTTCATTATTATGCAAAGTACTAGCATTCATGCACGGTTGAGGTTAAGGTAATTCAACTTTAAAAATTTTATCAAGGAATTGTTGGGTTTTGTTTTCTTGTCCAACAATAAGTACAGTGGGGTACATAAAAAACTAACCTTACACTGGTTACTTCATCAACCAGTGTTTAGACAGTACTTAAAATATCTCTGTAGGTTTACTCGTGGGACATCAAATCTGTATATAAGAACCTATATAGTTATCTACGTGTTATAGTGCTATGATTGTCAAAATTCCTAAATTCGAAATAAAAATATATGATCCCATAGGTGTCAAGATGTGATAAAAGGGAAATAAAAAGGACAGTCTACTATCGTGTAATTTCCAAACAAATGCACGGAAAAAGAAAGAGATATGGCGTATAGTTATTCACATGACAAAAGTATCTGTTGATGCACTTGACAAAAATCAAAGCACAGAAACATCGCTTTATCTTGTTTTTATTCGTCGCTGTGAAACCAACATTTATTTTATATTTCTATTTCTAGAACTTGTAGAAAAATAAAGTACAGAAGTTTAATTAAAAAAATGGGACTTTCCTTAATTTTTAAGTCATACATGTGGAAAGGCGGAAACTTATAAGTAATTGAAAAGTTTTAAAGAGGTATATGTTTGGTACAAATATTACAATTTCCTAATATTCAGACTGAGTACTATTATGCTCTTAATCAATGAAATAGGATTTCGATTAGCAATATTTGCTGGTACAGTAAGATAAATGTCTTTTTTCTTAAATAACAAAATTAAAGTTTATATATTATAACTTAATAATACTTACATGAAAATAAAATGATCTGTATTAAAACGGCATCTTTAAGCGATCCAAACACAGACATAAGTCCATAAAAAATCATTAGTTTCTTTTTTTCCATGTGTGATATTTATCTTTTCTTAATTACCACAAAACAATTTCACTAAACCAAACCTCGATCCATCAATAAGGTTGCCTCTGTTGTAGTTAACAGAATTAGTTAATCCGCTTGGTGTATTGAACAGTATATGTTTAACTTGGACGCATGCTTATGTCACAAATGCTAATCGAACAATATTATTCGTCAGTTAATTGGTTGCGTTCCTCTGTGCTGTAATAAATAATAAGTCGAACATATATTAAATTAATGATAATTAACAGATACTGAAAACATCTTATTCTTTCAGCGGACCAGTATCATTTACTAGACAGACATATTACTCCTTAATTCATGAAATAATTATTTCTACTTGTTTCAAAACGGCTTTATGCTATTTCAATGTTGTCTGACGAGCATTTTTCCTCCTTTTTGAAACTATCAATTCTAGCCAATTACTAGTATATGTGGGATAGGTGGGTGTAAATTCTAACAAAATTAAAAACAGCTTAGATAAGAAAACACAAACAACATTGTATCTATTGAAGTGGAAACCTGCTGGGTCATGATATAATCATTTCATCAATATATCAGTAATTTAAAAGAATATTATCTTCGTTTCATTATGAAAAGCTTAAAAATAAAGAATTACCTGTTTTGATATTTGACGTATAATTATGATACAATATATGATATGAAGTTATCTGACAATCGCGGTATTTTACTAAGTTACATGTACCCTTGAGTTCCATATTGTAGCCAATGACAGCCAAGATGGGTGAAAATTTCGAACAAAATACAGTTTACATTACATAACTCATACTATGCTATTTGCCTTTTCAGATTAATATTTCAAACTTGTTCTTTATTAAGACTTTATTGCAAAAGAAAAAGAAATGAAGGCAAATTTTAACGACCATGGGTTTTTTTTTTTATTATGGGCATCCTTTTGTGATCACATGTTATTACTGTGCATGTAAGTCCTGATCCCTTAGAACTTTTAAAGAAAGGATGGAGCGAAAGCGATTTTACTTTGCAAGTTATATTTTGGAAAAAAAGAGATCAATGTGCCAAAACTAAAAACAAATGTAATGTCAGGAAATATCCAAAGGATTAAAATACATTTTCTAAAGCATATCAGACGTCCAACTGGAACTGCAAGCATTGCTTTGAGGCCAACACGGATATAGATGTCACTCAAACTTCTGAGCCTTCGGCAAATAAGATTTGAAGGTCATAGTGTTTCACTGACACCGTATTTTTTGTGTCACCTGTAGGGACACAACATATATAGGGATCATTTCTGCTGTCTTGAGTTATCGCTATCCGCGTTACTCTTTGTTGAATAGACAACTCTTTGTAACGGATGGACAGATTTTAAACTTGCCCAGATTCTTCTATAGGTCATACAGTAACTGTTGTGTGCCTGTTATTTCAATCTTGGTCTGGATGATTTTCGGGGATATTAAAGCATGGACATCGCCATTTTTGTCAATATTATTTTGAGGCGAAAGGCGACACACGTCTTTCTTTGACAACTCACACATTTTTGTAATAAGGTTGGATTCCTTGTATTTTCATCTTGAAGAGGAGGGTAGTACTGAGATACAGACATTTTGTAACTTCTCTTAGTATTTTATGATTACCAATTGGAACATCTTTTGAAAGCTCTGGAAAAATTGAATAAAAATTAATATCAAGAATAGTGACGAAGGATAAATAATACTTTTAAAATAACTTAATATGAATATAAAACGATTAGAGGGCAGATTGCAGACAAAATATACACAGTTATTCAATTTGATCAACGGAAGTTCAAATCTTGGAATAGTTTCTCGGAGAGCTTATGTACCTAAAGAAGGCCCCATAAAGTCTAGAACAAACTGGATCGTATATAAACAAGGCAGATCTAGAAAACCTAGTTACTTGTCGTAAACAATAACAATGTAAGAAACACACAATAAATAGAATATAACAAAAACAATCACAGAACTTCTCATTCGTGCTATAGATCGACGGAATAAAACCACGGTTGACCGGTTAATAACACTTATTAAAAAGCCACTCGCAAGCAATAACATATTTAATCAATTAAAGACACTTACATAATTTATAAAGATAACACGTTTTTTTTTCCAAAATTTCTGTTTGGCTTATACAAAATAATTTAATAACTTCCAGACTTTCTAAATCGAGTCGTCTTTTACCATTATTGTTATGCTAATAGTATCATGTGAGAGTTTTACCGCAAAAACTCCGTTCATTTTTATAGTTAGCTTTTGTTTTGAAAACTAAGCTCAGAAGGCTGTGGAAATTTTACGCCAACCCTCCCCGACCCTTATAAATTGAGCTTTTTTTGCTGCTGTTTTGATTTAATTTTCAGATATTCCAGTCTTCATATCTCCATCCGTGATGGTAGTTACATCTTGGAATAAATAGTTGTACAACATGAGCGAAATTTACTTGATTTTATGCAGACTGGATATTACTCAGCTGCTACATGTGAGCTATTTCTGAATAGACCACCTTACAGTACATCAGCTTTGGATCGCCCAGATGTCATCAAGATCTTATTTGACTGACAAATAATTTTGTTGTGTAATGTTTGTTGTTGTTGTTTGAATTTTGATTGAAGGTTGCCATGACAATTCATTTTTTTACCAAAATAAGTGTATGTTATTTATTTTGATGATATATAAATCAAGTCACCAATTGCGTCTGTTCGTAAATTTTGATATTTGGGTAATTAGATATAAGAAGATGTGGTATGAGTGCCAATGAGACAACTCTCCATTCAAGTCACAATTTGTAAAAGTAAACCATTATAGGTCAAAGTACGGCCTTCAACACGGAGCCTTGGCTCACACCGAACAGCAAGCTATTAAGGGCCCCAAAATGACTAGTGTAAAACTATTCAATCAGGAAAACCAACGGTCTAATCTATATAAAAAAAAACGAGAAACGAGAAACACTTATGAGACATCAACAAACGACAACCACTGAACATCAGGTTCCTGACTTAGGACAGGTGCAAACAAATGCAGCGTATGCACATCAAATGAATTACGCTGATAACATTATTTCTCTAATTCTTCGTCAATTTATCCCTTTCTGCACCCATTGTATAAAAAAAAAATTTAATCAACGTGTGGTTTGTTTGATCTCAGTTCTTCATTGGTTAAAATCCGATTATGACGTCGAATTTTCTTGCTTTCCTCTGAATTTCCTATTGTGACGGCATGAAAAAAGGCGACCATGCCTGATGACGTCACATAGAAAGAACACATCTTTTTTGCAGATCATTCGAAAAGAAGGAATAAGTTTGCCTGCATATTGTTTGAAAATCATTAGAGAAACAGATTCCACCACCAAATCTCGTGTAATACGATATTTATCCACTCTCGACAGTTAAATTTTAAATATTTAAAACGCTCGGCGAGCCTCGCGTTTTAAATTTGAAAATTTAACTGTCTCGAGTGGATAAATATCGTATCACACTCGATGCAGTGGTAGAATCTATATTTCTCTAATTCTTCGTCAATTTATCTCTTTCTGCACCCATTGTATATAAAAAAAAAATAATCAACGTGTGGTTCGTTTGATCTCAGTTTTTCATTGGTTAAAATCCGATTATGACGTCGAATTTTCTTGCTTTCCTCTGAATTTCCTATTGTGACGGCATGAAAAAAGGCGACCATGCCTGATGACGTCACATAGAAAGAACACATCTTTTTTGCAGATCATTCGAAAAGAAGGAATAAATTTGCCTGCGTATTGTTTGAAAATCATTAGAGAAACAGATTCCACCACCAAATCTCGTGTAATACAATATTTATCCACTCTCGACAGTTAAATTTGAAAATTTAACTGTCTCGAGTGGATAAATATCGTATCACACTCGATGTAGTGGTAGAATCTATATATATATAAATATATATTAATATATTAATAACACTTAGCCGAGTGGATAATAGATCAGATTGTTACTCCGAGAAAACATTGTCAACCGAGGCGAAGCCAATGTTGACAATTTTTTTCGAAGGATAACAATCTGCTCATTCACACTCTCAGCTATGTGTTATTCAATTTATTATACTGAACGTTCTGTCATTACTGTGTTTTAAATTGTATATTGAAAGTAATTAACTATGACGTCATGTTTCCGATTCGGGTGGGCTGACAGGGTAAGCGTCTCCTGCTATGTCATGCATCATCTGCTAAGCGAATTCACACCGTCAGTCAAAAAGTCATAATCTGAAATAGGACACGCCCAGTAAAACCTCAGATCAGACGACTATTCTCGTATCTAAAGATCTAAGACTTCAAAACAGAAATTTTAAAAAGATAGGAAACATTGTAGCTTTGGATGATCTTACATGAACAATATTGCATTATATTCATAGTGTTAAATTTTATAGATAAATCTAACCTTTTGTTGTTGTCCATATATGTTTAAAGCGACAATAGACTGTCATAATCAAATACATAGACATTCTTTTTGCAACAAATTGATTTTGCTTTCTTTATGTATAAAACTAAAGTCCCATCAGACTGAGTGTTTGATATCGCAACCTAAAACACAAGTATACTTAAAAATAAACAACTGCAGAATATACAACTGCAGGTCTCCATTTGACAATCGAGTACCATGACCATTAGTCAGCTTGAAGATTTAAACCATCAGTTTGAATAAATTATAACAGAAACAATAATTCAATACATGAATATTAAACAAAGATACATCTACAAAATCTGACACTATAAGTGTTTTTGGACAGGGGTAAACGTTTTACTAATAAAACAAATTTTTGGAGTACACAAGCATCCGCTAAAACTCGTTGTGTGTGTGTGTGTGTGTGTGTGTGTGTGTGTGTGTGTGTAAAATCAAATTGAAGATAGATCAATCCAACTCCATGCATGCAAAACGAATTACAAATACATAGGAATAAACAATACAAATCATTCTCGAAATGGCACATACTTAAGAATGCAGGGACATGTATTGCAGAGCTACACTGAAGACATATAATCATATACATTTATCAAAAACAGCAAGCTGACAGTAATTGAAAGTTAGTTAAAAGTTGTTTAACTATTCACTTTGACAGTTACTGAATGTATGTTTTATCTGTTCACACACTCATATATTGTCTTTCTTGTATATTTTAAATGAGAGGGATGCGATTCATACTCAATTGCAATATATAAATGTAAGATGCGCAATTATATATGTTTGTTTCCGTTACGAAGTGTTTAAACATAGTGACAACATGTGAACAGCAGGTAAGGCAAATTATTAGATATTGGCAAAACGGTTAAACCACAGTAGCAATAACAATATAACAGTGTCAGTATTTCCGCATACTGTTTTCGGTAGGATTAAAAAAAATCGGCCTAAACACGTTCTTATGATATAAGT